ATAATTGATACCTTATAACTTAATATAGTTCAAGTTTAAAATTTTAAATAAAACTTCTTGTTTTTAAACTTGAACTATATTAATTTAATAATTGATACCTTATAACTTAATATAGTTCAAGTTTAAAAACAAGAAGTTTTATTTAAAAGCTATTAAATTGTCTTTCTAGGAGACAAACAAAGCCAATTTGTACCAAAGTGTTTTTTTTTTTCAGCAACGACCCGAGTGACCTTTGTGACCTATCCATGCAGGCTAGAATACCCAGGAGTTGGTCCTGAAGTAAGTTTTCTGAAGGAAACAGGGCGAGCAGAGTTCCACAGTGCCATGGATGAAGAAGCTATAGATGGTAAGCTGTTTTACAAATCGAAATTGAATCAAAGAATGAAAATATTAAATGCTCTTTTAGAGAATGGAACTTAGACACTGATTTTGGGTCTTTCTGGCTTGAATATATGCAGCGTGTCAAAGACTAAGCAGATTGGAAGGCATAATTCCAGCCCTGGAGTCATCTCATGCACTAGCTTTTCTGGAGAAACTCTGCCCTACGTTAGCTAATGGCACCAAGGTTGTAGTGAATGTTAGTGGGAGAGGAGATAAGGATGCTGCAACAGTTCTTGAATTAATACAAACATGAAATACACTAACAGTCAATCAGGAAGTATATGTGGACCATATGCTAGCTTAGCTCCTCTATACCTAGTAAATTTGGAATATAATGCCTGCTTGAGCCCAAGACTTACTAGATAACATACAATCAAGTCCTTCAAGTGTCCGCAAGAAAGGATGAACCAGAGACAGATCTTTAATCTGATCACAGAACTTGTTAAATAAGTGCTGCACAAATAAAATATGTAAAATCATCACAAGCTTAAGCTTTTGTACAAGAGTTTCTTATTTTGTAATCCAAACTGTAATGGAATGACAACCCCTAATATCAGAGAAGCTGGTCCGCATTGAATGGTAAGCGTTCTGCAGTCTAATGTAGTCACAACATGTTTTTGTTTGTATAATACTAACAGTGAGCACAACTTGCATTTATTAAATTCCTGAACATGCAACTATAATCTTGAAAGGAAAAAGAATGACTGGAAATGAACTCTCTTTTATATAATAATAAGCAGATATATAAATCCAAGTACAGATTGATTGGCTCATTATAGCTCCTGGAGACAACACTGAACAAACCACTTCCACTTTAAAACTAATACCCAGATGAGTAGAAGAGAAAGACATTAATAGCACCATGGTAATCAGTAATGTCATTGGAGCTTTGTGCCAAAGAGGGTCTTTCAACAAACTCTGCGCATTGAAACAGCTCTTCACCCCCCTGCAGATGGTCAAAAGAGAAAAAATAAAGGAAAAAATAACAAAAATGTATATGTTGTAGAAACTCCTGCAGTTAGCCTACCAATTCAATGTACATGGTCAAAAGATCGTTGTATAGCTTTGAAGATGAAAATTCCAAGCATTTTCAAGCCCTGTCTGCTGACACATTTTGTAAAAATTTCTTGCTGTTCTGGATGGAAAGAAATAAAGAGTGCCAAGAAGGCAGGATGTAAGCCTGAAAGTGAATCTGTAACCTTTTCACTCCAAGATATTGTGCATGGTACAAGTTCAACTATACAAGTACATGCTTCTAGCATGATGCCAGGCTACTTGAAGCATGAATGCTAACTGTGAAAGTAAGTATGGGCATACCACTAAGATGAAGTAACTCAAACTAAGTTACAAGGACTTAGAAACTGATCTAAGTAAGGTTAACTCCGCATTCTTTTCCTCTGACTACCATCTTCAGTATTTCCCTGCAAGTTACCAATGCAAAAACTAAGGTCAGGAAAGAAAAAACCATCCCTTGAGCATGCAGTTATAACTTTACTATCAGATATTTCCCTTACATTAACACCAAAGGTCTCAACCTCCCAAAACAATTATCAGATTTTGGACAAAAAACAAATCCAGATAACCACAAAGGTCTATGGTGTACTACCACTACAATATGGATAGAGAATCTCAGACTGAATCGTATGCCATTTGCAAGCAGAGAAAAAGATACTCTAAAACATTTAATGAGATGAGAATGGGTGGAAAAGTTGAGTTGAGTTATTTCAGAACTCTTTGACAACCAGTCACTCATAATAACTCCAACATGCCATGGCCAGACTTTAAAAGAAAACAAAGTACCACTACCAGAGAAACAAAAATGTTTCTAGAAGGATTAAAGGAAGCTTGAAATCTGCTGTATTTTGCTTTAGTGATTGGTGTCAGTTCCCCAATCCTTTGTGCAGTTCAGTCTAAACTTCTTTCCTTCCCACTGCACCATGTTTTTCCAAATGTAATGAATGAGTACCCCTTGTACTCATTTCCATAATACAATTTTGATTCATTGAAAAAGAAAATGTTTCTAGAAGAAAACAAGGGTTACAGAATGAAAATCCATTAAATAAAATCCATTTAGAGATTAAAAAGAAACACATACCCCTACATCATGTGCAAACTCTTTGGGCGGAGCCACACTAGATTCCGACCTGCATTTAGCATGCACTATAGGACCAAACTGAGATCTATCCATGCCTGCTGTTGATCCAGTGGGTGCATTCGCATAGACAGCCCCTTTATACATCCATTCCTCAGTCTCATCACTATAAAAATCCTCAAATGGTTCACCACATAAAGCACATACAGTCTGCTCTTCATCAGCAGGAACTGCCAGTTCTTCATCATCCTTCTTTTCAACTGTAGTATCCATGGGCAAAAAGCCTGGAACTGCATCAGTTCCCAATGCTTCTGCACCACTAAGCCACATGCTAGCACTCACAAACCACTTGCGAGAAGGTTTCTGCTTACGATTCTTTGACATCCGGTTTTTAGTCACATGCCAATCCATATGACTGCTGTGCTCCTCTTGGAATTTGAATCGGAGGCCACATGTTGTGCACTGTCTTGGGAGATCATCATATAGAGAATTTATTACAGACTTGTGTCGTACCTTAAGGAGATCTGCATCAAACTCCACACTCACAGAATCCTAGAAAGAATTAACTTGATTAAGACGATACGTTATATTTCATAAATGGTAATAATTAGAACAGAGCATCACTTCAATAAATACCTGTACCGGGGTTGGATTCGTCAATGAGATCAAACCTTGAGACACCAGAGAACTAATCAAACCAGAAAATGCACCACTCTGTGGTTGGTTAGGGAGACCTTGAACTGCATTCTGAGAGATTGGAATCAATTGGGATGAGAGAGGTGGACCACGAGGGAGAGGTGGCAGGGCTCTCCCTGATAAATGCAATGAGGTCATTGGCATATTTTGGATTGTTAAAGGTGTTTGAATAACAGGTACTAGATTTGTTGGAACCATACTGCTTACAGCACCATATCCTTGAGAAGAGTAACCAAGACTCAAGGGTGGCGCAAGTAAGTGAGGTGGTAATGAAGCTGACTGCAAAGGAGTGGCTTGCAAATGGTTTTGCTGGTATAAAGCAGGATGTTGATTTGGCATGTGTGGAAGCCTGGTAAAGTTCTGCTCCTTGCTTTCAAAACTATCAAATTGCTGCTCAGCCAAATATGAAGGCTTACTTTGACCCTGATTCAGTAAACTATTGCCAGGGTTCATTAAGTCAAATTGACTCCTAGGTTTCTGTAAAGGATAAATAGAGTGTGTGGGCGGTGGCTGAGATTTATGAACATTTGCTGGAGGCCAAACCCCAGCAGATGATGGTATGATGGCAGGATGAGCACCAACAATGGTAACTGAATCATGAGTGGTAGTTCTTGATACAATATTTGGGGGTCTAACAAGTTGCAAATCTGCATCAGGGAGCTTGTCAACAAAAGAAGACATTTTCTCAAGCCCTAATGAAGTGAGACCACCAGCTGAAATGGACATCTGAAAATCCCTTCCACTTCCTTCCCCACGTAGATGGTGAGATGACTGAGATGCATGATGTGGCAAATTCCAAGCATCTTGAGGATAACGGGAACCTGCAAGTTGAGTCAACCGATGCCTAGACTGCAAAAAATATATTAAACCATTCATTACTAAGATGAAAGAATGTGTCTACTGACTATATCTAGATGTTAAATATGAGAATAGATGGAAACCCAGTCCTCAGACAACAATAAAAAGTAAAAAATTATAATGTAGCCAGGCTAACCCAAAAAAAAAGGACCCAAGGGCTCTTGATTTTAATAAGCCATCATTTGAATTCCACAGCCAATTTATTTAAAAGATCACAGTTTATGGTAGGTTAAATAACAATTATAACAACTATAACAATGCAACATCAACAGTAATCTAGAAAACTGAAAAATGAAGGAAAGAAAGGGGAGAGAAGGAGTTTGGTAAGACTTGAGAGGAGGGGAAACTGACACAGCAGAGAAACTCAGGTTAGTAATGATATAAATTTTATATTAACCAACAAAGATACTCCTACCATCAGATTCCAATAAGGATGGCCTTACCCCAACCCTTCCAAAATGGGGAGCAGACGATGGCAATAAATCATTGCTCCTACCATGTTCCGCTAAAGTTGGGCTCATATCTTCCCAATCAAACTCCTCCTCTTCAGTATTTTTCCATGATCTTGAAGCTTTTCCCACACCATTTACATCCAGCCATTCAACCTGTGGAGACTTATTATTTGGAAGACCTTTCCCTTGGTCACTGCCATATGCATCAATTAAAGCCCTGGGGTTTTGACGCCCATGACCATTGCTCAGGCTGTAATCAGAGTGGTGTTTTCTCCGCCCTTCCCTTGTCTCTTCATCTCTGACCAATCCTCTCCCATGTCCATAGTCAAAGGCAACATTAGATGGAAAGGGCCCTTCAACAAATCTTTTAGGACTATCTGAAGCAAATTCACCAACTTCTGATGTTCTTGGAACTTTTGCAGCTGAAGAAAGATGAAGCTTGTTAGCCCCAGACAAAAGAGAAGTTCGACTAGCATTTCCTGCTGAGATCAATCTCCGTGTTCCAACCTTCAAGGATGTAATCTCTGTAGGCTTAGGGTTAAACTCATCATATCCAATGGCTTGCCTCTGACCAGAAATTTTTAGATTTGAAGAGGTATCTCTCACATGTTGAACATTCTGCAAAGGTTGCAAAACATTTTTCTAAATTTAGACGTCAGAATTCTTTACCCTGCACAAGCATACACACCTGTGTATGACAATCACAAACACAATACATAACTATATGTTTTACAAAGATTTTTGCAGCAGCTTCACAAAAAGGAATAAATATAATAAACTACAAAATTGATAATCTGATTGTTTCTAGATTAAAACATGCATGGAGCCCCAGTCAAACTCCAAATAATCTTTCTAGCCATTGCAAAGCATTTATTCAATCATTAGTTGACTCCTACATAAGTTTCCATGAGTATGGCAGCAGTGTGGAGTCTTTACAAGAAACTGCAAGAAAAAAAGTCCAAGCAATGCTTATGTAGCCAAACTGCAAGAAATGCAGCCGGATTTTCATTTATATATACACGTCTTTTTATCCATCTAGGACAGCATATGCTAACCATGATGGCAGGTAATGTAAAAGCCACATAGAGCACCCCAGCCCAAAGCGCACGCAAGTACCTATTACTCAGAAACAAAAGTGGCACACTTATCACGTGTCAATGACCCTAAATGACTGGAATTAAAAATGACAAACTTATGGCAATAAAGTAATGACACTAAGTATTGCCATATGAATTTAAAAAATGACTAAAGTTCAATGCCACGTAGAGCCATCTTAAATTTCTACTAAATTAAATCTAAACTGCAGTTCAGAATTGTGCATTTCAAATTTTCAATAAGCAATAAAGATGACGGGTTTAATCAGCAAGCTTACAATATCGGCACCTGACTGTTGTTCCAACTGACGCAAGTATTTTAGATTGACATGTATGCCATGCATTGGTCGGGGTGACTCAGAAGATGGCAAGGAAGTCACACCTGAAGGTTTTTGACTAACTAATGAAGAAAGTTGCAATTGAGCCTCAATCTTACTAAGGACAGCGGGTGGAAACACAGCTGACCAAGTACCAAAGAGGTGACGCATGGCAGGACGCAGGTTAGGGTGAACTTGTGTGTATGCCTCACAGAAAACCTAATCAAATTAAACAAATAAAACCCAATACTAATCAGAATTAAGTTATTCGCAAACTAACAAAATATACCAGCTACTTGCAATCACTCACCTCTGGCAAACGGGAAGAGAAGTACCTAACATATTCTCGGCCAATGTTCTTCACAATGCTGTCCAACAGATATAGAGAAGGCAGCTTCTGCTCAACAGGAACCTAAACACAGAGAAATAACAGAGAAAATGCAGCTGAAGAAAGCAAAGAACTTACAAGTTCATGGTAGCCCAAAGTTTGACATAGAAAATAAACCCCAGATAACTACAAAACCACCCCAATTTGGAAAAGAATCCGACTAACCTCAAAAATTCGGGCGCAGATAGCATAAGCAATGCCCTCACCATGTTCGCGCTGCTCCCCGGCGATGATAGTGAGATCAGTAATTATTGGCTTGGAATTGAAGGTGAGCTCTGCCAATACAATCTCATACAGTTGCACAATTTCCTCCGCGCTCGGCGGTGGCAGGTCCTCGTCAGCAGAAACCCTAAGCACATCCTCCCGTTGCTTCAACAGAGCTCTGAATCGGTCGAATATCGGCGGCTGTGGCTTCTGAGCTAGCTCATTGGGCATGGCCCTACTGCTGGCGGTATTGTTGGAAGGAAACGAGGAGAAATTTCTAGGATTTTCTCGGGAGAGTAAGATTTTCTCCGATTCCATTTAGGTTCATGGAGATTGACGGTAGCGTATTAGGGTTAGGGTTCCGGCCCACCGTGAAACGGCGAGGAAGGGGTTAGGGTTTGCTGGTACCAGCATCGAACAAAAACCAGATTACGGTGTCTCTGTCAGATCGTCACCAAAAAAGTGCAACCACCGCCACTCTTCTCTGCTGATGTGCTGCGCCTGTTTTCCCCTTCTTTTAAAACTGCTCAATTTCATCCCTTACTTTCTAGAATTTCAATGAAGTCCTAGACCTATTTTAGGCCAAGTTCAAATAAATTTTTTTTTTTTTTTTGTAATTTTATAGCATTAAGTGATACTATATTCTTTTGTTTTT